CGGTCCTGCGGAGAGTTAAGAGGGGAGAGGCGGGTGCTCAGGCCTTCCTAATGAAGATCAAGGGAGGCAAAACAGGAGGGCGGCATTCTTGGCTGGCGAGCGAGTGCGCTTTCCAAAGACCTGCACCCGCTGTTAGCTGCCCTGGAGAGGTCTGACCAACCCAGAAAGCAAAGAGAGAGAGAGTGTTTTGGCTGCACCCTGTCACCCACGCCCTCGGGAAACGGGAGGACAAGACACCCAGCAAAGGTTTCCAGCTTCGGGACGCTCCTCCCTTCCAGCCCGATCCAACTATCACGACGTTCCAGGTATCGGCCTGCACTCGTGAGAAGCCTTTGCTTTTTTTTTTTTTTTTTAAAAGCAGGCTTTGGACATCGGCTGGATATTTCACTTGCTGGCAGCGACAGAAAGAACGGGGCAGAGCTACTGTCTCGCGAAGGAGGGAATAACCCCATTCTCCTAATTCAGGATTCTCTCCCCAAACCACGTCCTCCTCACCTGCAAGCCGGAATGACGCAACAGCGTTGCAAAAGCTGTCCAGAGATTCCGAGCCGTCTGCCGGCTGGGAGGAGTGAGCGCAGTGACCGAGTATGGGGTGCCACGGCCCCGGGGTCTCTGTTCGAAAGTCCAACGTGTTCACTCATTGCAGTCAAAGTACCCCGAGGAGTAAGTTGGAGGCCTCATCTCCTTCCGCTCTCCGTCACGACAACGGGGGAAAACGCTGAGAAAGCAGCAGCCCCGGCTCTGCAGCATCCCGTCACCTGGAGGAGGCACGGCTCACTGTTTGGACACAGGCAGCTTGGGTCTCTGCAGATAACGGCGCCTCCACTTTATCGCAGACAACTGGGGGAATGCAAGATTCTCCCCCGGGAGCTGTTTATTCCGACATAACGGGGAAACGCGCACCGACGGAACGGTGGGACCGCGCTGACAATTTCCGCTCTGCTAATTACAACAAATTCTGCACTAGGAACGAGTCCTAGAAACATCTGTCTAATTTGTTGGGAAAAAAACCCCCTCACCCGTGCGTGTGTCTCTCCCCTCTTCCTACGCTGCTGACAAGAAACCTGTATTTTGTCAGAGCGATGCCAGCAGCAGCAGGTAGAAGGGTGCCATTACAACACAGGCTCGCGTTAGCGGCTCGGTACGTAATGAAACGTTTCAATTCCCCGGTTAATAAAGAAAACAGAGCTTTTGGCTACAGGAAGAGCGCGGTTTTCCCTCCTCTTTACTAGTTTAATGCGAATGCTTCTCTACTGCTGCTTGCTTGGGAACGGCAGGCTCCCTCTTCCAAAACCCCACGGGTTAACGCCGCGCGGCTTGCAGCGGGAAAGGGCTCCAGAACAGATTCTCCGCTCCGAAGAACACGACTCGAAAGAAAGAAACCTGCCAGCGTCGATAACGACCGCAGACGTTTCCTCAGGACCTGCCTTCCCAGCCTCTCCCCCACACGCTTCCCTGCACGCCTGCTCCAAGCCTAGCTACGCTCCCAGTCACCAAACTCACCCGTTTTGCTGCTAAAGCGTACGAAATTCCTGTCCCCGCAGCTCCCAAGCGCCCCGCTGTCTTCGCAGGAGACCCAAGATGAGCTCGCGCCCCGTCCTGCCTATCTGGGAGCTTCATCAAGCTGCAGAAGTTTCTGCGTTCCTTTGCCAAGGTTGGGTTTGGTTTTTTTTTTTCTCCTTCCCTTTCTTCGTCTTGAAGCCAGGAGGAACCTTAAGGCATAGCACCGGAGCGAAATAAAAACACGGAGGGAGCTTTTTCATTCTAACATAGAACAAAGGCTTTTATTGCACTTCTAGAAAAACCTGCATAGTCCTAACAAACAGGATTCCCCCCCCCACCCCCCGAACATTTGGTTTAAAACAACTGCCACCGCCGCCGCTCAGACGCCCAGTACAGGCTGCCCGCAAAAGGAAGTGCAAACGGGGCACATTTTTTACAGAAAGTCAAGTGGAAAAAAATACCCCCAAACCCCACCACCAGCAAACAAGGAGCCGATTCCAGCCCTCGCAGTTGTCATCAACGCTAATC